ACATAACTCTATGTATGAAAAGTCTTCACAATGCAAGTAAATCTGCTTCAGGAGGATTCAAGTAAATTCAAAGTCCAAGTTCATACAATATTTAGATTAATGAGAGGGATCCATAGTATGGTTGGAAATCATTGGAGTGGGCTCCAGACTACGTAAACAGTGATTATCTTAGCCGTAATAGTCGAGGGAAGAAATGATATCCAGCTTAGAAAGTTAGATTGCAGTTTTCTGTTTATCAGGGGATTTTTGTTATTAGGAATCACCTTGGGACAAAGCTGTTGCCATGGTTTTTCAAGTTATGTTTTTTCTTCTTTTCTACTGCTCACTGTATTGATTGATAACAATAACAGAAGATTTGTTTTGGATGACGCCAATGGCAGCGCTTAAAGACCGTCACCACTACTGGGCCAGAAGGGATTAGACCACACAGAGAGCCATCGAGGTCACTGTGACAGGTGGCTATCTCATTAACTCAGCTCTCATTTAACATAAGAAAAAGAGGATCATGGGGGACCAACAGGCACCGATTGGGGAAGTTTTCTATATAGAGGGAGCAAGTAGCTACAAGTATGGCAGTGTGCCTTTAAGTTTGCTTTCAGGCTAGCGTGGGTGATATTGATCTGATAATGCTGTAGCATGATTGACTATGTAAGCATGTTAAAGTGTACCAGAAACTTAAAAGATCTAAAATAACTCAAGCATTACATCATATTACTTTGTTTCATTTTGTTTAGCTCTGAGTTGTAGTACAAGAACTTGGCAGACCCTTATGTTCACTTTACTAAAAATAAAAAAAAATAAAAAAAATCATCCTAAAAAGCTTGAAACTTAAAGATAAGCAAAAGCTTGACACAATGTCAGCCCTTACAGAAATGTTTCTCATGAATTTTAATGGGGATTAAAAAATTATATATAGTTATAAGCCATATATATCATCCCCAAACAATTAACAATATTTCCATGTGGTTACGGACAAATGAAGAGCACACAGCAACAAAAAAATTTAATGAGAATGTCTGTACAGAAGTAAATTTCAACTTCTAGCTTGTAAAAGATCTGAATCTTCCTGTAAGTTTCAGCTACAACCATATATTATTGTATAATAAGTTATTTTTCTGTGAGGTAGTCTTATGATAATTTTCTTGGAGGGGATCATTGTAACTCGGAGAGAATTTGTAACTCTTTCAATGACAACATCTTGTGTACTCTGGTAAGCCTTGCAGATTCTTATATCACCTCACAGTTTTGAAATTCAATTGTTACGATCATTGTAAAAGGTTTTGAAGCCTTTTATAATTATTGTCTGTCAAAAGTTACATAAAATGGTCATAAAACCACAAGAGGCATTATGCAGTTTTGTGGTATAGAAATATCTTATTATTATTATTATTATGATAAAAGAGGACTTAAGATCTACTAAAGATAGTGTTAGGTACATCATCTGATATATTTCACTCAATTATTACTTTCTTTTCAACTTGTCTTATTCTTTTACATCTTTCTGTCTTCTTATATCTTTCCTTTCTTCTACTTGTTTATATTCTTGTTCTCTTCCCATTCTCCCCATTAATTCTACCTCTTTCACTCACTTTCTTGCTATTTTTCTTTCTTTCTATCTTATACTTTGATTATCTTGCTTTCCCTGTTTTTGTTTTTCAATCAAGTGAATATAGCTGGGTCTAGGATTTGGAAGTATTTAACAAAAAATTAGCAAGAGCTATCACTTTATTTTTAAATTGTCTCAGGCCAACTTTCACAGAGTGTATTACAAGTATAAAGTTTCATGGTTAGTTGGGCACCCCTTCATTTTCAAACCCTGGATTTGTGACATTTTTAAGAATCTTCCAAACAATGCCCAAGTGTAAATGAGATTGATGGAAGATGATTGAGGTTTTTTTTTTTCTCTAGTTCTCAAGAGAGATAATATATGTGTGTGTGTGGATACATCCAGACTGTAAATTGTAAGGCCAAATTTAAAAAACAAAAATGTTTAGCGTCCTGTTTTTTTGAAAAATAGGAAGGAGGAAGCCTTTTTTGTTCTTCTTTTTTTTCCTCTTCAAAATGGCCGCTCAAAATGGACATTCGGTACATTTTTCCGGATAGTCAGGCTTTTTTTCAAGATGGCCGCCGGTATAATTTTTTTTTTTTTAAATCAGAAATAGATCATTTTAAGCAGTATGTTTTTCATGTTTTAATGCATTGAAGAAGAAAAAATTATTATCAAAAAAAAAAAAAATAGGAGGCGGCCCCCCAAAAAAGGAAGTGGGCGGGGACGCTAAACATGTATATATTTTTTTTTACTTGGCCTCAAGGTTACTTATCCCCCAACCACCCAAGGGGGCTGGGGAATCCACATTGGCTGGGTTAAACTAGGGCAAGGCTCTCTACAAGATAAAGGATACAAACTATAGGAAATTTGCATATATACTTCATGGTGTTTAAGTGTTTTTACTGAGAGGTTGAACACTAGTTGTCTCTGAGCATTTAATCCTGATTTCTGATGCATCTATGTTGTCTATGTTGACATTCACACAAATGTCAAGGTGCGTGTGTTAGATGGGAGGAAAATGAGAAAAGGCAGGTCTGACTTTGGGAAGCAACATGATTGAAGACAAGAAATAATAAAACAGTCCAACAGAAGAGAGATAGAAAGGGACAGAGATAGAGACAGACATTGGGGGGGGGGGGTAGGTGTGGGGGTATTGAATACAGATCCATTTGATCAAATTAACAGTTAGTGTTTGGAAGTGAGCAATTCTGAAATATTATTCTTTGATATGTTGCATTAAAAACATAACAATTAAATATGTCAGGGAACTGTTTTTGTAAAGTAGCTCTAATCATCACTCCTTAATTTTGTTCTTCTTCAAATATAACATGTTTTAAGAGTTAAGACTTGATACAAAAAAAAAAAGAGTTTTTTAAATGAAGAAGAAATATTGACTCGCTGTGTAAACATGGAATCATTGTAAACAAAAACGCACTTTCTAACATAATTTCCTTTATTCAGCTTGTGTTTATTTTTATTTGTGGTTTCTATACTCATGATTCCTTTTGTGCTATTTATGAATGGCTTTGGATAAGAAAGAAAACAAGTATCTATACTGAGGTCTGGGATTCATAGCACCTGTAGAGCATATGTGTTCTCAACCAGAATGATACGATTACAGTCTGCTCTCTTTGATTTCCATCCCTCCCTCCCCTGGCAGAAGAAGAGAGAAATTAGGCCTGTCCTCATCAGCTCGAGATTGCCAAATATCTTGCTATTTGAACCAGCCTATCGTAAATTATCCAGTTAATTTGCATCTTCATCAGCCCGAAGTTGCAATTAGTGGGATATTTGGTCAAGATAATCATCCCAAGATAACTTGGGCTAGTTTGCAAAATATCCCACTATTTGTCCTGTGCGTCTTCACTAGACCGAAGACTCGCACTATGCGCGAACGCTGAGCATAAAATTTCTTGAGCTGATTTCTCGAGCTTGATTTTCAAGTTTCAAGGTCAAGTCTCGAGCTGATGAAGAGGCGATTCGTAACTTCGGGATCATTTCCCAAATCAGAAATAGCAGGCTATTTGGCAATCTCGAGCTGATGAAAACAGGCCTAGAGAGACGTTGCTCCTCTCAACACCATCACCCAGGATCAGACCCCTACCTGCCGTGGTCTCTAATCAGCCGTGATCAATCACATGCAGTATGCACCCTAGGAAAAAATTAGAGAGCTGGAAATAGAGAGATAGAGGGAAAAATCAATTAATTTGGCTCGAGAAGAGTATGGTAGAATAAAGAAGGGTCAAGATTGAAAGATGAAAGAACACAAGTGCACACCATTGAAGGTGTAGAGACTATAGTTTGGATAATTGTTTCCCCTTTTAATCCTGTACATCAGGACGATACAGTTTCCATGGATATTAAAGGGTTATTTTACGATGTTCCAATAATGCAAGAGAAATTGGTAGAGCCAACTCGTCAAAAACTGTGTAACATCTTTATCATGTATACAGCATTTTTGTTGACTTTATCATTTCGTTGACTTTTCTACATGCTCTCAATAAACCTTTGAACCTCTCCACACTTTATTCCTTTGACATACTCATCTCTTTTTTGAAGATCTCTGCGGGATGAGTAGACATTTAGAAATACACCTATCCTGAAAATTATTGATGAGATAGGTATACGGAAGGAAAATCAAGACTATACTATTTGGTAAGCGTGGCGAGGTGTAAAAGTTAATTGACTGCATATTCAACATCATGATAGAGATTCAAAAATATGATCAATATGGATTTGAAAGTGGCAGTGGCAAATACAAAGAATGAAAATGTAAATATTACATATATATCCCCTTCTTAAAATGTAGATTATTTTGAATCCAGAATGTTTGAGATCTCTGATATGATTAGAATGGATTTGAGGGTTATTTCTGTGAATACAAAGAATCAGGGCATAGACATCGGATATTTTCTCTTCTCTTCTCTTCTCCCCCCCCCCCCCTTCTTTCATGCATCTTCAAGTTTAGACCGTCTTGATTCAAAGGCATGAGAGCTCTCAGAATGTCCTTGTAAAGACAAGCTAAAACCAATGTTGCGGTGAACAGAATTTGAACATCAAAGGTCATGTTCCATCAATTAACAGATTTGTGGTCTATGGTGGCCTGCATTTACAAACCAAGAAAGCCAAAGAGAAAACCTGACAAGTGGTGTATTAGGAGGATGATACATGGCTTATTTTGAAGAGAAGTCCTCCTGGGAGTACGTCTGTAGATAAAGTAAATGTAGTGTATAGGAACACCCTTTCCATTTCAGATTTGTCTTGTACGTCATCTTTTAAGTAGACAAACTTGTATTCTTGGTGGCGATATCACAAAGCTTCTTTTTCAGATCTTAAGATTGTTATTTTATTTCTAACTGCTTGTTTTGTTTACCTTCCTCACTTGTTTATCTTCATTTGCTTGCAGTCTTTTATTTTCTTTTCTTTTTATTTTGTTTGCTTGTTTCTCTAGGCCATGGTGGGACATCATCCTTTTATCATCCAGATATACAAGTCATGGCAGAGCAAAATCAACTTACATATAGGTAAGCATAATTCAGATGCTTCGATAAAAACAAAACAAAATAGAAATGTGTAGAGTTCCGTAATACACATTCAACTGCAGGAAAACAAGTTTCTCCATGAAGCGAAGGAAATGAATAGGACATTTTTTGCTACACAATCTTGTAACTTATAACACACAGATAAGAGAGTATTGTTCAGGGCCTTTTTTTCTCTTCCTCACTTGCCATTTATTTAGAGCCAGAACCTTTTCATTTTGAAGTTTTTTTTCTTCCAGTTGTGTTACTTTTGTTAACATAGTTTTAGAGTGAAACAATTAAAGGCATCGTTTAACAATGTTAAATCTGAGATACACAGCCCTACGTGTTATCAGTGTCTGTGATATCGTGTAATATTGAAGCCCTTAAAGAATTGCGCTTCAAAATGATCAAGAAGTGCCTCAAAAAAGTAAAAATCTTTGAGTGACTGGTTTTTTTGTTTTGTTTTTGTTTTTATTATTTTATTTGGCAGAAAACACATGATATCAAAATACAGAGTTGAAAATAAACAATTAATAGCAAATCACACACAAAAAAGGAACACTGGGTGCACCCGGCTGTGCTGCCAGGCATTGGGCAAAGTTAACCAAATAACTATAGTCCGCAGACCGCCCTCACCTATATCCAACCAGATGCAACCAGCGTTGCAGATTTATGTGACAAAGACAATATAAGAGATACATGTATGTACCACAATTAAAATGCATCAAGACAAAAACTTCAAATTTCTCCAGGGCTGCATCACACGCCGGAGACTCATGACCACACCAGCAGAAAAAAGTGGCACAATATGATTATGAGGGGAAATTTTGTATCCGTAGTGTGATTCAACCCTAGAAAATCATATAGACCCATACATACATTAAACATAATGCATGTATTAAAAAACATGCAAAATGTGACATTACAACAGAGATAATATTGCACAGATAAAGTAAATGCATATACGTGTAATTGAAGGATAATTGCACGAAAGTTGAAAGAACCAACTCAGTCGAGGTTAAAATTACTGAATAGTGAATATACATGTAGAGAAATAAGGTGATAAAGGTCATTCAATAATCTATTTACCAAGTGAAGAGTAAATTATTAAGTTCAGTTGAAATCTATGGAAAATAAGTATTAACAATATGAGTAAAAAATGCTGTGGCATGTTGGCAGGCCAGCTTATTAAAATATACATGTATAACTACAAAACATTCTTCTAATAATTATATTGCACTGCTAAGCTAAATATCTGAGATTTCATAATAGTATTGGAAATTTAAGTAATGACCCAACTGAGAGTGAACATTCAAATTTAATGGTGCCTTTATAATAACATTTTACTTTACCCCTACAGAAATATTAATGTATATATATAGATAAATACGATTAACTGGAATTACTTATTAAAATTCAGATAAATTGCATAAAAATATAAACCAAACATTGTCATATTAAACTCAAGGTGCATCGACAAGATGGGATTTTAAGTGACTGCACCATGTGGAAAAAGACACAGTAAGGACCGAGTTCCTGAGGTCAGAAGGTAGAGTGTCCCACAGCCTAGGGAACTCATGTATTGCACTGAAATGCAGTCCATCTTTGCGTGCAAAGAGATGCCTGAACTTCAGGTCTTCCAAATGACGTGGGTTCACTACAACGAGAGAGTTCACAACAGGGCATTGGATGTGTTTGAACAGACACTTAGTGACTGGTTTAACCATACTCGTTTTCCCCGATAGACTGTAGTATTATGAAAACCATTTGGAAAACGTAAATTTGATTTCGATTTCCAATCATAAATATCTTGATAATCAGACAGGCGATCGGCCTGTAAAAGTCATGGGGTTCCTGACTGACCTAAAGGTTTATATTTATCATTGCAGCATGAGCTAAATCCAGGATTTTGTTTCAGAATCTGAGACAATGTTACCCAATCCCTTTAAGAGTGAAAGCATTAATGTCTATTCTGTGTGCACATATTGTCTTCCAGTGATGGAGTTTGCAACCCATGGTGACCTCTACACACTCTGGATCTTAGAAGGAGTCTTCACTGAGATGGCTGTATGTATCTTCATTGCGGAACTCTCGATGGCGCTAGACTACCTTCAGAATGCAGGTGTCATATACAGAGACCTGAAGGTATTCACCCTTCTTCCATTTTGAGTACAGACCTCTAAACAGAGTATTATCGTACTATACTGGGGTGTGTGCAGGTGGACCACTACACCGGGTTTTTTCCCTACTCTTATACGAATAGTGCAGTGGGTTCTAAACGTGCAAAGGTAGTGACTCTTCTCTACACGGGGCCTCCATTTAAAGTCCTATCCGAGGGACGGAGGGTTTCCACTTAACATAACCTGCGTCTATGAACAAGGGGAGGGGCACGTTAACAAATAACGCAGGCTTCAGTCATCAGCCTGGGTGGGGTTTGAACCCGGGATCTTTGGTTCGACAGGCAGACATTTTACCGACTGAGCCAACTCCTTCTTGGGTTTAACCCCTCTCACTTCCATTTCATGTCCATTGATAATAATGTGGGTTCTTGTATGGCCCTCATGTCTCTCAGACTTCACACCCCTGGTGCTCCACAATTATTACCTCGGCTTAATCATGGCTGCCATGATGGCGCTCTAGCATTTCAAGGAATTAATTCCTGCCAGGTACCCATTTACCTCAACCAGGTGTAGTGTGGAAAATGTAGATTAATGTCCTGCTAAATGTAGCTCTTGCATCAAAAGAGCTGTGGTAAAAACAATGAAGTCAGTCTAACACATTTTCTTGTCTGTTTTGTTTGGTCAGATGGAGAACATTCTGCTGGACCAAGAGGGACACATCAAACTGACCGACTTTGGCCTTTCAAAATGGATGAAGAAAGGCAACCGGGCATCAACGATATGTGGCACATTACAGTACATGGGTAGGTACCTGGATTGTTTTGTAGGTATATCTATGTGTACACTAGTATCAGATTGTGGTTTAGCTTTGGAAAAATGTGAAGGAAATATTTATTTTGTATTGATAAAAGTTTAAAAAAAAGCTTTTGTAAGCAGAAAAGTCAAACAGTTACATCTATAAACATAGCATTTCTGATTCAAGTACTCAAAGGGGGCACTGAGTAGACCAATTTTATCTGCAGTGTGTAATTTGAACTTAAAAACGTGTTATATTAGGTCGTCATATGATGAATTGCATGGCACACTTTAAAGTGTTATAAATATTGATGATGAAACAGATGGTGTTTGAATCAGAGTGTGTCACATGGTCATAGTACATGATTTTCACATGGGTGACAAAATTCAGGATTCTAAAGTTAGTGCTCCTGATATGTGGAACTGTGCCTGACTTGTCTGCTTCAAGTTCTTCATTTTCGATGGTGGAGATAAAACATCAAACTCAAATCAACATCAAAATCATTCATAATCATTGGCCTTCTAGAAATGGTGTGATATAGAGTGGAAGATTCTATACGTGCAATGAGGTGCATGAAATGATTACCTTATTTGGGAGCTACATGTAGCTAGCTGTAAATTGGGCAAATTTCCTATGTTCTAGCCTGTGGCTAGTTATTCAAGCACATATACCAGGTTATTGAGCATAGGTGAGAGTGAAGATACAGAGATGGATGAAGGTGGGGAGAGAGAGAGAGAGAGAGAGAGAGAGAAAGAGAGAGGAAGGGAGGGGGAGGGGGCGGGGAGGGGGCGGGGAGGGAGGGAAGGAGTGGAGAGGGGGGGGGATATGGAGAAAGAGAATGAGCTGAAGAGTGACAGAGAGACATAAGGGATATTGAATAAAGGAAGAAAAAAATTAATGGAGGGAGATGGAGTAGTATGATTAGGAAGAGAGAGAGAGAGAAAAAAGGTTTTAGGAGAAAGTGGGGAGGGGGAGGGGGATGAGTATAAGATAAGATGTATGTGAGATGACTAGTTGTGAGAATCAAAGAGAAACAGAGAGAACAAAGAATGGAAGTATCAAGAAGATGGTGATAGAAACAGGAAAATATACATGGAGACAGAAAGACAAACTAAACTTATCTTGCAAATTAAAAAGAAATGGAGGATATCATCTGCAGCGCAAGAAAAAAAAATGTAAAATAGTTTTTGACTTTCCTGCCATCCAGTCCTTTGGTGAGAAGAGATTCCCTCCATCCCCTCCTTAGCTCTTTAAAGACTCATGATGAATGTTAATACCCAAGAGGGAATACAGGTGTACAGGGTAACATGAAAATGACATAGCATTTTACAAGACATGAATGGAGTAATGTTCAGGATATGTCAAATGACTGTGACATACCTTTGATTTGATGGATATTGTGAAATCATGACTTGTCGATTTACGATTCACTCAAGACCTCTTTCTGTACAGCTACCTTAAGATCTCTAATAGAGTATAGGTTAGTCGTGACATTCTGCATCATATACAAAGGATATAACTCAAAGGTTTAATCTTGTCCTTCTTGAATCTTCTTCTTGTAACACATTATATGGATCTATACAACATAAAATGCTATGGCAGTATTGAAAGGGTTAATCAATAATGACAAGAATATTTCCCAGGAAGTTGTTCATCCATCAAATTGATTCCTTACTGACAGAACATTTGTCCTTTGGTTTTCTTTCTTTGTTTGAAAGAGAGAGGTTTGGAAGTGAAAAAGCCCTCCAGCAGATAGATACATTTGTGACAAGGATCTTTGTGTAAAGTCAAGTAGAGGGAGAATGAGGGGCTTGATAGGTTGAAAGGGAGTGGAGAAGATTGATGAAGAGAGAAGAGTGCCAGGGTAAAATATTACAATGCTTAGAAAGCTCATTATTAAGCGCTTTATAAATATTACTATCGTAAGTATTATTAACAGAAAACAGAATGAGGTTGTCATAGAAGAAGTTAAGTCATACATTTCTGGTAGTGTCAGGAAGAAGATGAACAAGGAGAGATACAATCAGAAAGGGGAAAGATTGGAAAAATGACATCAAAGAGAAAAGAGTGGGAAAATAAGACATCAAAGAATGGAAAGAGAAAACAATATGAGATTAAGAAATGATTTTGTTGATGTGGTAAAGGTATTGATCATATTATTCAAAGTGATATAAGTATGCCAAGAAACACATTAGTGAATGAAGAAGAAGTATTACTTAGCAGCAGAGCAGTAGCAGCAGTAGTGGTATAGATGGGAGGTGGTGGTGGTAGTAGGAGATGTAGTAATAGCAATAAAAGCATGAGAAATAAACAGAAAAGTCCTGTCACAACATGAAAAAAGGGGCATCTTTAGAATGTTTTCTTTCCATCAAATCATCTTCTCTTCCTGTCGATCTTCCTACCCTTTGAACGTCCTTGCCACTTGAGATAGATACACCTTTTAGTAGCAGCTGCTATTACCTAGTCCATGTATTAATATAGTATTAATGACTGCTTTGAGAGAAATAGTTGTTTTTATAAGCTCAAGGGAAGGTTAGAATTGTGCTATTACCCGAGGCGTGCCGAGGGGAATAGCCCAATTGTAACCTTCCCGAGAGCGTATAAAAACAACTATTTCTCGAATATTAAAGCAGTCATTAATACTTTTATATGCCGAAAAAAAATAGACTAAAAAATAAAAAATAAAAGACACTTTTTTTTTTGGCGAAGGTGAGAGTCGAACCCTTGCGTACAATGAGTGATGAATCTTTCACCAACGCCTTACACCACTCGTCCATCGCGCGCTGTTCACGTGCTTGGCAGTTTTGTACAATATATACATTAAAATGGATTGAAACCGGCTTCGGCGTGATGAATGCTTCGCAAAAGCTCCATTAAACGGACCCTTCTTTTACTTTTGCAATGCATATTGGCACGAACTTAGATCAAGATCTATCGGCAGATGTTGTTTTTTTGTTTTTGGAAGTTTATTTTCGTCTTCATGTCAACAATGCAAGATAAAATTGTCGGTAAGATCGATCGAGATTCAATTGTATTGAAATTACCGACCAATCCTTCGCACACATACGGTATCCTCGATCGCTCAAACCATTTTTTAACATGTAAACCTATGGGGTAACCATGGAGGCTGACCTATTTTTTTAATAACCATGGTTATTAAAAATATTAAATGTTTTATGCATGGTTACCGGGAATTTTACAAGAACAGTTGAAGTTTATGAATGCAATTTCGACCAATCAGATGGCTGGATTACTTAAGTGAGGTATATAATGTTTCATATGTCCCCCTGGCAATCAGCTAATGTATCATACTACTGAAAGGCCTTAGGCCTGGTTTATCTTGTCTGTGGAGGCTGGTGAGTGAGAGGGATGGAGGGAGAGAGAGAGAAAGAGGGAGGGAGGGAGAGAGAGAGAGAGGGAGGGGGGGGGGGGAGAGAGAGAGAGAGAGAGAGAGAGTGCTCAATGGTGTTATATCCTTCCATTGTAACAATGGCGAGCTTTTATTTTAATTTAAAGGTATCGTGTAACTAATCATTCTTCAAGTGAAAATGAAAATGTTTGTATTGTGGGAATTTCTTGTAGAAAACCCTGGATAATATATTGGAAATTTTCTAGAATAAAAGAAATGTTATTGGTAGATTTCTGAATGGAATTAACCTTTCACTTAGAAATGTTGAATTATTACCTTTAATGTTCTGTCAAAATTTTCCCAGGTGCACTTGGATCAATATTTCACCATCAGACCATTATCTCTAAATCATGATGGAGTAGGCGCACCTATTTAATGGGTGATAGAAAAGACATTCTCTGACGCTCTGAATATTATTGAATTGATCAGGAGTCTCTGAAGTGACAGATATTTTCACTCAAAGGAGATGAATGTTTCCCTCAATGTTCTTTGACTATTTCCCCCGGTGTGCATTGATCATTATTTCAACATCAGACCTTTATCTCTGATTCATGACAGAGTATGGAGCACTTTCTCATTCTTTGTAATGGATGATAGAGAAGAGATTGTCTGTCTGTCTGCCCAGATATTCTACATATCATTCAGCTATTCAGGAATGTTATATGTTACATGGAGAGGAAATCCAGCTGTGTTAGCTTGCTGCTTTGAAAGAGAGCAGAATAATCAGAGAAACAGATTGATGGAATTTAACCAAAAAAATGATACATGTAAGCAACCAGAAAATGATGAATTATTGAAATTTTAGATCAGCTTCAACACATAGGGATTCATATTTTGCAACATTCATGTGGTGCATACCCATTATACAGATGATACAATTCGATTTCTCGTAATGACCAATGCTAGAACGATACCTATACATTGTATGAACACGGTACTAACCCCTTGATACATGATAGGTGATGCAATCCAATTATCACTGCATGATTCATGTTAAGATGATGACTATGGTCTGTGTGTGCAGGTGAGGTGATTCATTTCTCGTCATGTCTTTTTAAAGGAAATCTTCAGCTCTGGTAAATGAAACTATTCTGAGAGATATTGAAGAAGTTATTTTTACTTGATGTGTTGATCATGAATTGGATTGTTTATTTGTAGGTACTTTTGAGATCTTCTGATTAAACTTGTCATAAAAAATATTTTTTTAAATTCTTCTCATTTCGTTCATGTACTCAATTGTTTTTAAAATGTATTTCTTACTTCTGGTAAATGAAAATATTCCCAGAGAAGAAATCTAAGAAATTAATCTCAATTGTTAAACATTTATTTGACCTTTAAATAGTCTAACGAGACAAATTCCAAAACTTGCAGAAAAGACGCACACTGAAAAGTGGAAAAAGTATGACCAGGCAAACAAATGTTTGAATTAATGTTGATCTTTGCTTGGTATAATAACATTCATGTGATCTGATCAATGCAGATACTTGGGAATTGTCATCAGCAAATTGATTATTGATTGCAAACCCAAATAAATGACTGAACTTGTGAGAGAGGAGCAACATATTGTTGAATTCATTATGTTGTGTGTCCCACCAGATTCATTAGCTAATGCATTTGACCTGGATAGTACAGTTGTAAATATTCACCAAAGGGAACAATATTTGCAGATCTCTCTAAATTTCATTTATTCACTCAGAGTCTAGTGTCCTTCATGTCCTTCCTTCTCTCTCTGTCTCTGTCTCTCTCTCTCCCTCTTTTCTATTTCCCTCTTTCTCTGTCTCTCTGTCTCTGTCTCTCTGTCTCTCTCTTTCTCTCTTTCTCTCTTTCTCTCTCTCTCTCTAGTTTTGTCAGTCTCATCTCCCTAATCCCAGTGCTCTTTCCCACTTTCTTCCATGTGCTTCTACTTCAGCCATCCTCTACTATTATTCATCTACGATTGCAATACTTTACATCGCATTTGGACCTAAAAGCAAAATCTCTTTATACAGACATGGTACTGGTATTCAAATGTTGCACATTATATTTGCAGCTAAAAGGCAAAGTCTGTTCTTCTAGAACTCCATACTAATCTTACAATTTCTTGCAGTGCAAGCTATGATTTTCAAAATTGATATGGGATGCAAAGCTTTTAGAATCATCCTTTTAAGGTGCTATTTATTATTGTAAAATGATTGAGAAAATGGTTGAATTTAAAAAAAAAATCAATTTATCATGAAATGCAAGAAAATAATTAGACAATTTTAAGAATATATGATCAACATTTTAGTAAATGAGAAATTAACAACTATTACGGTAAAAAATGAAAAATTCATTTAAATTCATTGATATCAAAGAGTTGAAAATTAATTTCAAGGAATTTCATACCTTTGTCACTTCCCATAATCTTGATTCCAATCGCTTGACTTTTTAATCATGTATTTTCAAAAGTAAGTTAGATAGTACCTTTAAAAAAATTATTAGTTGTTGCAAGATCTTCAGATGCATAAATCCAAACATTACCTTTAAACTTTAAAATCACAATCACTCTGTACCCGAGGGGAGGGTTTAATGTTACCTTTCATCTTGGTGAGAAACATTCTTGCTGTTAAGTGAGCATGCATTCCCATTAATATGTAATATCTCTGCAGGCCAAGAGTAACATGAGCGGCAGGGTTCACTCACACTAGTTCTTATTCTCACAACTTTTGTCAGCCTCAAAAGGAGCCTTCACACCACCCATAACTTCATTTCAAATTTGACGAATGGTCTTCCAAGTTTGTGTTCTTTTTATTGTAACAGAGAGCCCTGAATCTTGATTGACTTTAAAGCCCCACTGCACTACTTATAGCTACTTGCGCCCTCTATATAGCAAACAATGCCTACATTAATCGGTTCCTGTTGGTCCCCCATGATCCTCTTTTTCTTATGTTAATTGAGAGCTGATTTGATGAGATAACCACCTGTCAGTGACCTTGCAGGGAGGTCTAATCCCACCTGGCCAACTAGTACAGACAGGCTTTAAATGGAAATACATCTCACATGATGGAGTCATCAACAATTTCCTTGCCCCCCCCCCCCCTCCTCCATGTTTGACTGAAGCATGAATGATTGTCACATTTAGTGAGAAACTTGAGGTGTGTCGCATATAATACTCTTTTAACTCATAAAATGCTAAGCCTGGGATGACTTGAGCTGGGGTCTATGGAAGATGTGTGTTATTCCAAAATCCAATTGGATTTAATGGGTTACAGGTAATGTAATATCTCTCCAGGTTAAGAGTAATATACTCTCGTGAAAGTCAGATTTACATTAGATATGATGTTTTCATCAATGTTTCCCCTAGATCTTTTTAAAAAAATGTTCCAGAGCTCTTTTGATGTTATCCACAGCAAAATTGTTCTTTGTTCCGTATTAATCACTTCTTTTTTCTTCTTCATTGTCTTAAATTGATTATTAAGGAATATTTTGAAACCATACACGTTCTTCTTCAAATGTACACTCAACTGCTACTGCCAGTCGTTAATTGTATTTTATGTATCTAGCAAGTATAACTCTATATGTGGTTGATGGCCTTTTGCATTTCCAGCAGGCGCTTGGGTGTGAGTCTGGGGTTTGAACCCTTGCCAGGTGCTATCAAGCGGTTGCTCTGATCATACCATGGTGTACTGTTTCCCAGTGTTGATTAAAAGAGCTCCATGTCTTGGCTGCTTGCCTGTTCATGATAATAATAGTTTCAAAGCCCTTGGGAAACCTGAAACCCCAGCATGTTGCGAACGTGTGACCAAATAGTGGCTTTAGATTTCAAAGAACCGCTTCAAGTGAGAAAGGGAAAAGGGTGTAATGCACAGCTAGAGATAAAAGAGATTAGATGGGGAATTGTCTCTAACATACCAGTTTAATCTAATAAACACAATAAAGAACATTGTCATTGAAACCTGAAATTTGATTCCTAAATTATTTCCATTCAAATGTGAATGTGTAATGCATGGTGGTGAGTTTTCAAATTAATATTGTCTCTTATCATAGGTGCCCTCTTTTTCATGTTGGTGGGACAGCAAAGGGTTAAGGGAATGTTCTTATACTTTCTTTTCTTCCAAAGATAAGCCTCAATGATCATATTAAAATGGGAAATGTTACCTTTTTAAAGTTGAATTAATCTCATTTATATTCTTATGTCTGTTTAATGAATTTTAGAAATCTTGACTTGAGTATGAGAGAGTGTGTGAAATACCTGTATCATGACTTTCAAGTATTTGTATATTAATCATTCAAACGTTTGTCTTTTCATTAATATTCATCTTCATTTATGTTTTTATCTCTTCTCCAGCTCCGGAGATCTTAAATGAGGAGAACTACACGCATGCCGTTGACTGGTGGTCATTAGGTATCATCATGTACACACTCCTGACTGGTGGTTACCCTATAGATGGCGCTAAAACCCATTTCACTATGTATAGCAGAGTTCTTGCCAAGAAATATGTTCTACCTTCTAGTATAAGCAGTGAGGCTTGTGATGCTCTGGATAGGGTGAGTGAGAACATTCCTCTAGTCTAATTCCCCATCCCCTCTCCATTTTCTATCTTTCTCTTCCCTTTCCCCCATATCTCCCCCCCCCCCCCTCTTTATTTTTATTTTCTCTCCTTTTGCTCTAATGATTTCATCTGTGCCCCCTCCCTTGTTTCCTCTTTCTATTACTTTCTCCCTCCCTCCCTCAATACTGCTCAGGTGAATATGTTCTTTTAGATTTTGAGATGTATTTATTGGCCTAACTGAACACTCCTGCAGACAAGATGTAATGTCCTTTGGCAAGACATTAATCTACATTTGCCACTCTCCACCCAGATGTAACTGGGTACCTGATAGGATATGAGCACCACATTTGGTAGCCTATTGGAGTGCCTAAAGACCAGGGGGTGTTTCACAAAGATCCTAAGTTGAACTTATCTCTAAGTTGGACTAAACAATTATGGAAAGCCGTAGCAACTTTGAAAATATTTTGTAAAAGTTATTTTAAAAGGCATTAAATGTTGATTCAAATCATTTATATTATCTTTTATCAAGGGAATTTATGAAAAGTCTAAAATACTTACATTTTTGCATTTTAATATGTTTTATTTTTAAGGCTGCAAATGGCTCTCCATAATGTTTAAGTCCAACTTAGAGTTAAGTTTGACTTAAGATCTTTTTGAAACACCCCCTGGTGTGGTTGATATGAGCACTAAACAAATAACCAATATTATTACTGATATTATTATTATCACCTTGCTTTGCCCTTGTGTTCCTGGCTGCTGCAGTTACTCAGGAAAGACCCCAATGACAGACTGCAATCGTTAGGGGAGATCGTCCATCTAGATTTCATCAAGAACATCTCATTGGAGCAGTTGGTACGACGGGAGATCACCCCCAAAGACTACCTGAAGAGAAGGTTACCCAGGACTCTAGCTAGGAAGTCAACCAACAAGAAGGGCAGGGAGTTCCTCTATGATAAGATACCATGTGACTTTACTGTGAGTATCTTCAAGAGTTCTATGAATTTTTGTCAAATCATAGAAAAGTTTGTAGTTAGCAGAATTTTCAATTAACCCTAAATATCCCCAGATTTTTAAAATACTTTGAGGTCAACTTCAGAATAATTACTCCGAAATGAGTAAAGAAGTATGGCCCCTAATCAATGATTGCAGTGAGATATTTATGTGAGGGTCATCATGTTAGCTCTTAGGCAATTCATTTTAGTTGGCTTTGTTATGAATCTCTTATCTGTTATTAAAGGCATCATATAACAATGTTAAATCAGAGATGCACGGCCCTACGTGTTATCAGTGTCTGTGATATGGTGTAATATTGAAGCCCTAAATAGATTGCGCTTCAAAATGATCATGAAGTGCCTCTTGACCGGTTGAGTGTGCGGTTTTACCATACTCGTTTTCCCCAATAGACTGTAGTGTTATGAAAACGCAAAATTTGATTTCGATTTACAATCATAAATATTTTAATAATCAGACAGGCGATCGGCTTGTAAAAGTCATGGGATTCCTGACTGACCTAAAGGTTTATAATTATGATTGCAGCATGAGCTGAATCCAGGATTTTGTTTCAGCATCTGAGGCAAAGTTACCGAGTCACTTTAGTTATCAATGTTGTGTACTCTCTCTCTCTACTTCTTTTGGACTTACACCAGTAAGACTCATTCAGAAATGATCCGGTAAACCATTGTAAAAAATACATGTGTAATTGGATGGCAACTGCATGCATTAACGGTCCTATGTGTGTTTTAAGATATAGGAATGTGAAGCATATTACACTCATGTCATTATAAATAAATTGCTTTGGCAGTTCACCATCATATACCTGAAAAGCGTAGCTAAAATTATTCACTGTTTGCTTTTGTACTTCTACAGGTTGACAATTTTGAGTGGACTCGAGTAACCCAGTTATAGTACCAAAGAAACTTGAGACAGACTGGTGATCTCATCAAGAGCAGCTGCCATGAAATGAGACCTTCTTAAAGGGACACATCAGAAGAAGTACCTTGATAAAAAGAACAGTATTCTGACTGACAGGATGGAAGAGGAATCCATCTTGGAAGTCTACCGATGATGTCTGAGTTTTGTTTCGTCAAAGGCGGAGGTGATCGATGTACGGTCATTACTGAACGATCAGGATGACTGGTTAGAGTGATGTCGCATGCAGGGTTGTCGTTGATGTCCACAGCGATAGCATGGGCATATTCATTATTCAGGAAAGCATGCTAAGCAGCTGCCTGATCATGTTGAGAAGGATCATTGTTGCCTTAAAAGTGACTGAAAGACATTGAGATGGCAAGTACGTACACGTACCTTCATTACAAAGGGATGTAGCATCGGTATCAACGGAAGAGCATACCGAAGAATCCTACAGATCTTACAGAGAAATAAGAGAGCGGAAAGAATTACTGATGTAGATTGCTAGTAGGAAGCCATTGCAAGGTGATGCGCATTTGCATCGGTGGTGGAGGGCAATGAAGAATCGCACGCAGCACACAGAGGAATTACTGAGCTATCACTAGCCTTGGTAATGAATCAATATCTCTTTCATTATGAAAGTGATCCTCTTGCCCTTGCTATTATGATAAGGGATGTTGCTGATGCCATGACTCATACGACCATCATTGTCAGTATTGATGAATGCATGCATGGTTGAAATCACCCAATCATGATTAAGAATTGTGCTTTCCATGATAATTAATCTCCAATGTACTGTCATTATAAACATGGCTCTAATTAAAATCTTGCAAGTCACTATGGAATAACTTTGTTGGTTAAATTATCATTATCATGATATTATCATCATCTTTATCATCATCATCAGCATCATCGTTGTCATCATCATTAAATTATCATCATCATTGTCATCAATATCATCATCAGGATTGTTATCAGCAACAAAATCAATTTGAAAAATCTCTTACATGACCAAAAATATCTTCCTCATTAATCACAATGTTCTTCATGTCATTACATATCGGCAGCCTTTACTTACGAGTGTAATGCATTATTTTATCGCCATTCACATTATCACTGTTGCTCTCAGCAGGAGAGCACTGTTTGGTATGAATGATGTCTTTTTAGGAATCTATCCAAGATTGATGTACCTTGTCTATACTCCAACAAACACATCATTGAAAATATTCAATGTTGATATATCAATGCCCACAACTCTATGTGTAGCATCTTCCCTCTGTGATGTGCTCCTAGTACAGCCTCTCTTGAAAATATTCAATTTTTAATGATAGGAAGTATTTGTTTTATACCATCTTTTTAACGAAGAGTTTATATTGCCAAGATCAATATTGATTTTTTGACTAGCCTGTTAAATGCAATTTGGTTTTGGTATTTTCCACAGACTCAAGCCTGAGCTATCCTGGACTTCATATTTAATTGAATGATTTGTGGGAATGCATGGATGTATAGAGTCTCTACAGCTTTTGTTATGGTGCTGTAATCTACATTCTGTAAGCGATTGGAGCAATTGGGTGGACTGGAAGATATTTGTATAGGTGCATTTCACCAATCTGAATAGAGGCATAGAGATATTTTACAGCAGGATGTATAACCTTGAATTTTTAATTTGCAAAGTCAAGTAGAAAGACTATGTTTGAAAGATTCTTGCTCTTATGATAATACCAGATGAATTTCCTTAAATATCTTTTGAAATTAATTTCTCACCATGAGCTATATCAATACATTGTGCCAATTTGCCAAATATTTTGTTACTCATGTACATGGTATCTTAACACAGTAGCCAAAATATTGCTAAAACATTTAATTTATTGTTTTGTATTTTTGCTTGTATTAGAATACCTCTTTTTTTACCTCCTGATTTATTGACCAATTACATTTCATGCTCTCACTTCTATATTTTTGTATTGTTTTCTTATGTGGTGTTAATTCTATGTTTCGCTGCTCATCATCTACCAATCAAGTAAGACAAATGAATATACACTGTAGATGTGTAGCTATTGCCCTTTTTTAATTATTTTATTTTGCAAGGCACACAAATTATGTGATCAATTATGAAAGAGTTGTGGGATTATCTCAAAGAGATTTGAGAGAGAGAGGAATTCGCCCATCTAGATTGATTTATTAATTTGCATAAATCTCTATTTATGAGTACATGCATGCACTAGATGTTAGCCTCTTTAGACAGCTTTGTTTCTGTGCCTTCATACATTGTCTCTTGGATTGATAAATGTATAAAGTGTCTTGTTTTGTGACGTATGCTGTACATAATATATCATTGCAGCTTACCACTTGACATACGTTATGGAAAGGGGGTGTCAAACTTTGAAAACAATTTGTGTGATGGGCCAACAAGGCTAAGAAGTCTACACTTGAAGGCAGTAACGTTGACAATCCCCCTCCTTTTATTGACATCCCCAATTGACAAACCTTTTAGTGTACTTCTTTGACCTTTTAACTGCGCCATCTTCATGCAAGAATCTTCGAAGAAAAACTACATATAAAGTTTGATTTGAATAAAATAGAAATTTACCAGTATTCAGTCATTTTAGAATACAAAATTGAAGAACTTAGATGTGCTTGTATTTTCCCAAAGAAGTATCTGTGTCTTATTTGTAAACTGTAAAACATTTTTAATCAGTTTTTAAGCCTTGATATACGTGTAGACGTATCTCTCACAAATACAGACATCTATATATTTTCTTGTAAATGACACTTTTAGGTGTAAGTGCACTTTGCCTGATAGAGTTTTGTATAAGTGTATATCTTTTTTCCTTTTGATTCATAGGAAATAGGCAATAACTTGGAAGTGTATACCGGTAGTCCAATACATTGTTTGTAGTATTAAAGTAGTTTTAATTTTGTAGTAATTCAAGTAATGATTTTTGAAGATGTCATTTTCATACTGTAGTGTAGTCACTTAAGAAGCAATCAGAGTCATAAGTTGCTATCACATAATATTTATTTTCATATATTTATATTTTATCAAAATTCCTTTCCCCTTTTTCTCTTTCTCTCTTGGATGCATTCTATTGTATGTGTAGCGATGGTGCCTCACTTTTGTTGTTGAATTGATTTATTGAATCATGTCGAGAAAAAGCCTTTCATAAAGTCACAACTACATGTATTTCTGTGATTTTAGATAGTGTACAGATTTGTTAAGACAAAACATGTGCAGTAGTGATAGGGCCAATACCCTATCTAATTGTGTGGCATTTTGTTGTTTTAACACAGTTGACAATTTTAGAAGATAAGCACGTTTTTTTCTTCTTCTTTATAAACCAGATACCGGTATTTTCTCAATGTGTGCTAGACATCTTTTGGCAAAAGGAACCTTTGTCCCGTATGCTCATTACCACTCGTAAATTGCCAGAATTCTGTTTCTTGTTTTGTTTTGTGTAATTTCTGGAAAAACCTATTCAAAATTTTCCATTGATATTTGACACTTTGTTTGGAGCCAGAAGGCATCAACTGCTATCATTTTACAAGTATGTGTATTAATGCCATTCTGGTTCCAAACAGATAAGTTGTGTCTACTCCAGTACAACTTTCTTTGATACAGTCAAACCTGTCTATAGCGACCACCCAAGTGAAACACAAAAAATGGTCTTTGTAGACAGTTCCCTTTAGTACATGTTTCAATGAGAAACCATTTTCAAGGTTAAAAAAAGGTCTTTGTAGACAGGTGGTCACTAAAGCAGGTTTGACTGTATCATGTTGTCTGTATGGTAATTTATATTTTGATTATCATCACATCCTCATCCATTTGCTCTGTTGTCAGGTTCGTGACTTCAAGTAGTTTTGAGCAGTGGAGTCTCAATTGATGCATTATGCTCATTTTTATTATATTGTAAAATGATGTGTAACAAATAAGTGCAATATTTTCTGAATAGAATGAGAAAAAAATATGATCATGAGAATTTTTTTTTTTTGTAGAATAGAAACATCTATTTTATAGAAGATGTAATGTTATTATTTGCTTTCTGGTGCTATGTTTAACTACGGTATGAGGGTGTCTAAATATGACCTACATGTATGAAATCTGAAGAATAGGCAAGAAAAGTAATCAAATTCATTTATAGGTGACTGTATGAGATGGATCTCTTCTCAGTTTAAAAGGTTATCTTGAATTCTTTTTTGCAAATGAAACATCAAATTGCTTTTTAAGAGAACTTTTGTAAAATTCATTCTGCATTATTGATCAAGTATCGTTTTTCCCAGCAAAAGGAAATTGTATAAAAAAAAACACACAGCCAAGGTCCAACACAGTTTGAGATGTGGGATTACATTATCTTTTCATGGCCCAATCTACCAAATTTCTTCAAGTTCATTTGGCAGATTCATGCAGCATTTATTTGTATTTTTAAAGTTCTAGAGTCATTGTTATAGACGTGGATAGATTACCAATTTGACATTCAACTTTCATTCTGAGTGTCACTTCCACAGTAAAGTATCCATTGATCATTTTCCCTGGTATTTTATGAGCACATGATTTTGCGTATGTGATTTTTTTACTCAATCATGAACAAGAAAATTATCATGACCTATTATGAGTAAGGTAAATCTATCAACTCAGAAACATAACAGTAAACAGTGATAGTTCTAGTGTTGACCTCTCATCGACAGGTTGTGAAAGTTTTGGGTTTTACTCTGCTGCAAAAATTGTTATTTATGAGCAATTATATTCCCTGAAGATATATTCTCTGGTTTATGTATTTTGCTGCAACATTACTCAACTGCATTCATGTAAGTTATCTTATACTCCTATTTATACTTTGTTTGGGATAGTAGCAATTATTGTGTAATACTTTGTATTCGCACTAATTAAACATCAAACTGAGTCTGCAAAACCTTCAAATTTCACAGCGTTTGACTTTCATATAAAATTCACAACCATTATTAAGAATGTAGACTTGACCGATTCTCCGGTATGCAGCCTCAACAAAAGTGCTAATGTGATGTCATAACTGATTTATTTTAAGATATTTTCCAGTCTTCTTCTTTGGTACCTTTTGATTAGCATTTCATGTCAGAGTTGATTTTGTAAGAGATTCTTTTATTTCTCTATGGAGAGTAGTGTCACTGGCATTGCATTGCTGATAGTAATACTTTTATAAGCTTTGTGCTATGGTTTGAGTTTGATGCAGACAATTTTATGTTTCCTTTTAACGAAGGCAAGTTTGTGTTCCTTTTGCAAACTCTGATGAGTTGCTTTGAATTGTATCGCATTATTTCAGTTGTCTCTAACACATTCATAAAATGTTTTTATTATGCCTAGTTTTTATACTTCAAATGCAAATACCAGTTTGTTCATAAATGTACTTAAATCATTGATACTTTGGCTTCTTTTTGTTACCCTTAAAGGTAAAGACTAGTAATGGTCATGTGATTGTATTGTGAAAGAAACGTTATGGAATCAATCAGAAAAGGTTGATCATCTAGCATCTAAAATCTGCAAGGTTCTGGAATCATCAAAATGATAAGAAATTTGGCCCATTCTTCGTAAAGTTACAAGCACTATACACAGAAAGATGTATATGGGACTACCCTATATCTCTCACAGACCATGAGAGAAACAAATTTACCAAATATATGAATTAATAGGCGGTTTCCTGGCAAATTTTTTATCATCATGTATTAGTCAAAACATATTCTTTCACATGATTGGTAATGAGAGCTTCCATTTCATTTTTTGAAATTGGGGCGTTTCCAATACTGGTCTTTACCTTTAAGGTTTGTTCAGACATGACTCCTCAAAACCTTGGCGTTATTTTATGACAATGTATAGTGTACTACGCTTCTCGTGAGGCAGAGCTCAATACATATGTGCAAGTCTTTTGTTGTGCACAGTTGCCGTTCATTAACACATTTTTAAATCTGAACAAGCCTTCATTATGCAATGTCTAAATAATTGTGTTGGAATTTATAAAAGATGATGTTGACTACAGCCCTACATGTATGTTCACCCAAAAATGACATGCAAAATTAGTGACCTTTGACCTTGAAGCAGGGGTGAGGACATGAAAGAGTTACAAAGTAAACAAATCTGATGATAGTATGTTGCCAGACATTTAATTGTATTGCTTGGGTGACAGAGCAGATTCAAAATGTTTAATAGGGCCATAGTCCAAAAGAATTTTAACAAACTATTTGCTAGACTGATATAGATTTGCAACTTATAAAGCTCTTCCATATACCAAAGGTATTCACTAGAATTCTGGACAGTTAAAAAAAGGTTGTGTTAGCTCCATTTGAGATTGATTTGTTGGGGCTAAGAATTAGTCTTAATTTTTGTTAACAGCAACTCAATATGGTGTGCAGAGAAGTGATTGTACTCTTCTCCACATTTGATTTTAGAACAAGTGCAGCAATTGTGTTGTCGAAATGTGGGTGTAATAAAAAGAAGATTGTTAGGAATTGCACACCCTTATTTTACGATTCTTTCATCTTGATTGACTATAGAAATAGGAATTGATTTATTATGATGCATTCAGATTTCTGCAGATGTTTTTATTCTTGCACAGAGCCTTGAGGGCCTAATCATGTTATAATTTTGTGCATTTTTAAATGAATGTGAACTATTTTTCATGAATCTTGATATGTGTAATTGTACAAAGATGATTATTGTCACAACTTTTCTAAAAATAAATGAATTCAATTTTGCAAGATTTGTGTTTTAGTGTTTGTTGTTTTAAGATATTTTAAAGTGATTTCATTTTGTTTGTATGAATACTGAAGGCAGTAGGAAAGATAGAAATTCATAGTTTTTTTTCTCCAAATGCACGCTAACTGTTTAATGGAAGGACTGAATGAATGAAGGTAAAAGACAGCAAAGAAGTACCAGTAGAGCAGTACAAGTTGAGAGAGCTTAAATATGACACATGGCAGGATGGTTAAACATTGATACAATGGAAGAGACAAATGATACTAAAAGTTAAGGTTTATAAATGCAATAAGGATACAACTTAAAGAGAAGAAATAAAATTGATGGTGAGAGAAAGTATGTTTAAGCAACAAGAGGACATCTTATAAACTATATCAATTTATTTTCACACCTTGTTTCATGCTGCACCAATTTGACTGAGAATTCATGTACACAAAGCGAAGTAACATTCATTCCTGGTTACATCCCCGTCAGATTCTTTTTTTTTTTTTTACTCACATTTTCATGGCAACAGATCCTTATCGTAGTGCAACCATGTTCTGAGCCCATGTAGTCGGACATGGGGTGATTAAGCATTTGTAATTGCTGGATAAATATCAGTAATATTGAATCCGCTCCTCATTTGAAAAATCAGAAATGAATTTCACTTGGCCTGAAGACAGAATACCACTCACACTCGAGGCACTTTCATTTATTACTCATACTAACAAATGCTTCACTGACACACTGTTCACGTAGGTAGGCCCGGTACACATTGCTAAAACAAGCCAACACCTATTTTATTCAATCATCTCCGTTTCGGTTTAATAAAATTTGGAGTAGACCATTAAAGATTATTATTATTATTATTATAACTAAAAGACCAATTACATGTAGTACATGAATTAAAGCAAAAAACATCTCCAAAGAGTCTAATTCTAAAGATTTTGTTTGAAATGTACCAACTCCCTTTTCTTCCAGAAAAGAAGAACAAATCTTGAATAGGTTCATTGAAACTCAAATAGCAAAAACAGACAGAAAATTCTAGCATATGCCAAGCCCAAGATGCCCTCAGCTGTACTAAAAAAATAAGATAAATGATTAACATACATGTAAGGAGGGCATAAAAGACAAGAAGACTTCCATAAGTTTCTAAATAATTCACACTTTAATATCCAACAGCAAAGTTTGGTGACAAAGTGCTTCAATATATATCATACATAGATTGCAGTTATCAATGCATACGATTACAGCTGTTCATATTGAAACAAATCAATTCAGGGAAATCCTGAGATTCATTTAAAGTAGAAAGAACTAGAAGGACAGAGATTATTTTGTTGTTTCTTCTTTTCATGCTGACATTAAACATCCCATTAAAAGTGAATACTGGTATATTCACTCTTTGTTATTTCATACATGTTTCAAATGTGCCTTCAATGAATGAGCAAAGAAACCATGAAGAAGATTTACGGCAAATTGTAATTGGGAGGGTCGATATTAACAAATTAGTTTGGATTCTTGTTCATATACAATAGCACTGTAGTCTAAATTGGTATTCATTCCAAAGCATTTCTGTGGTGCAAAATGACACATCAAAGCCAGATCTAATGGGCAAGTCTGGTCCAAACAACTCTAATATTCACAGCTTTCAAATGCATATCTCTTAATACGTCAATAAGAATAGATGAGGAATCTAGACATCTTCAGAGGCGGTGGAATTATTCTTCTTCATAACCCTCTGGGAGTGCGTTGGATTCGACGTTGTGGAAGAGAGAATGGTTGCCGTCTCCCCATGGGAAGGACTACAAATGAAATGAAAGAAAGAAAGAAACAATTCAAGATATGTCAATGCTAGTGTAAACATGTCTGCTTTTTATATATTTTTGTTTGTCAATACATAAGAGCAATGAAAGATATAGCTCTGCATAGCTTTGGGAGAAATATAAAGATAAAAGGGTCACTGTGAAGAATTCCACTATTACTCTAGAAAATTCCAAAATAGCTTCTACAAACAAAGAAGTACCTTTTAAACACTGACTTGTATGATGAAGCAAAACAAATGATTACCGGTACATGTCTTCTAAACAGATCTAATATAGAAAATTTCTTCTAAAATACATGAATACAAGTTTTTGGAAACAAAAAGACTAGTGGAAACAAGCCTTGACTTCCACAGCAACACTTCCACAGAGTCATCCTTGTTGAGGATGATTTTAATAGGCTTAGGTATTTTCTTTTTGCGACCCCCAAACTTTAAATGTGTTTAACTGCTTTGGCCACACTTAAATATATACAGATGTAATAGAAAGAAAGTGTAACCTTGTATATAAGTTGGTTATAACATAAGCTGAAAAGTTGGTTCTAACAAAAGCTGAAAAGTTGGAGAAACAGATGGGTGACATTTTTGAAGAAATCAGATAAAAGATAAGAATTTTCTGATGTTATTAATTTTTTACTGATCAGAGGAAAATTCTATGATTTTACTACAGAACAAATGGGAGAGGTGCTTGAAAGGTAAAACACAAATTTTCCTCTTAGTTTTTTATCAACCTTAATTCCTAAAACTGTCAGTGTTTCTCTCAATGTTCTGGTTTAAACCAACATGATGCTATACAGTAGAGATCCCCTATAAATTTCAACCATGGAAGAAGAGCTCAATATTATACAGCATCCAGGACACACGAGTGCCCAAAATTTAGGGCCAGAACCCCTCCACAACCATTTCAAAATGTTAACATTATCTCTAAGAATTATGCATACAGACCCTACTAAGTTCAACCTGGTCCCTGTTTCATAAAACTTGTTAACAATAATAAGTTACAATAACTGTTATAAGCTACTAAAATTGTGCCTTCTGATTGGCTGAGAGCTAACTTGTCATAGAATTTTAGCATTTGTTATTGATAACAACAGTTTTTGAAACAGGGTCCTTGGGGGTGTTTCACAAAGACTAAGATCGATTTTAAAGGGAAAGTCCACCCCCCAAAAAAAGTTTGTTTCGATAGAGGCAGAATAATAAGAAAATCAGGTGAGTGAAAGTTTGAGCAAATTCTGAATGAAAATAAGAAAGTTATGAATTATTGAAGTTGTGATCAATCAAATACAAATTGGCAACTCTGTGACTTATTATACGAGCTCTCCTTCATTTGCTTTGTGCATAATATTCCATAAAATCATGTTTTCTTCATTATTGATGACGAAATATATATTTGTTCCTTGCAGGGGCAGTATAGAAACATATTTGCAATTATTATATTTAGGGTGCATATATGGTTGAAATTTTTCTTGAGGGAAAATGAAAATTTTAGATTTTTTTAGTACTGAGCAAATGGAAGTTGAGCTCGCATGATACGTCATAGAGTTGCCAATTTGTGTTTGATTGATCACAACTTAAAAAATCCTAACTTCCTTATTTTTAATCGGAATTTGCTCAAACTTTCACTGACTTGTTTCTCTCATTTTTCTACTCCTATTAAAACTAACTTAATTTCAGGTTGGACTTCCCCTTTAAGTTGGACTTAACTATGGCAGGCCATTCATGCCACTGGCTGCTCTCACTATTGGTCTCTCAATTATGATCTTTAGATAATATTTTTTCCTACAATAATGAACTATCAAAAAATGTAAATTCTGTAGGTTTGTGACCACGATTGGTACGTCCCTTGAGAAACCAATGCCAGTAAATAATGAGAGAAAATAATGGCATGAGCGGCCTGCCATAGTTAAGTCCAACTTAAAGTCGATCTTGGTCTTTTTGAAACACTCCCCAGGACCCTTCATGAAATATGACTTACCTTTGTCCTAATCCTAAGATGTGTGTATGCATGAAACTCAGGCTTGTGAGCGGCAAAATGAGCCTTGTGTTCCATTTCTCCTTTGTAAGCATTCACCATGCAGAATATCACTCCTGGAATCGCTACCAGGAAAGACATGTACTTCCACGTCTTGGCTGAACCTAAGAAAAGAAAATCAAGAAACTACATTTATAATTAATTTTTTTGCAAATTTATTTTGCATCCCCTTACCAAAGAAGCAAAAATTAATTATGGAATATAACCAGGTCTTTGGGAAAGAACATAAGGGAAGCAGTTTGAGGGGGAAATTGGAGAAAATTAAATAAAGATAGATATGTTTTTACAGGAGGGCATGTTACAAACACATGCATGCTATATTATTTAAGACCCCTCGAGCCCTTTCCATCAAGAGAATCCAGAAAGATATATTTTGAGGATGTGCAATCACCTATCATGGACCAGTTGCCAAAGGGAGATCTCCCATAATATCACTGATTCAGTCTTCAAAGTTGAGAACTTTCTTCAATGAAGAGGTTTATCTGATTGATTACATGGTATTCTTGTACTTTTCTCAGACTCAAACTTACATCAACTTTCTCCTTAATTGTGTGTCATTTAGTATTTTTTCACAGGAACCAAACTGTCTCATTTCATTAAAACTTCGCAAGTAATTGACCCCAACAATCTTATAGGACCGAAATCACATTTGCATCACTAAATTCATGAAAAAGGAAAAGAAATCATAACCCCATCCAATTTTGATTTTCTGTGTGATCTGTAATCTAGATAATAATAATAATAAATAAAAAAGCTAAAATTAAAAAAAATGTCTGGAAAATATGTGGACGTTCCTCATCTTTTAGAACACGCATTTTGTCGGCATTTACGAGGATATCCTCGTAAACACGGACTAGAAATGCGTCCTCAAAAATAAGGATCGTCTGCATTTTTTTGTCTTCGGCGCTCTGCAGGTTTCGGATTCCTGAGCTGGTCGCTGGCGATGCAAAACATGGATTCCGTGTAAGAAAATAACCCCAGTTAACCGTCTACTTTTATGGGTTGTCCGTCTTCCCAAGGATTTATCGCTCATATTAAACGTGAAAGTCTCTGTACAAAGTCAATGTAAAAATGCATCAAGAAAATCGATCCTCAGATCCTCATTACGGTAGATAACTTCACACAGTCACAGGCGCCTGCCCGCAACCCACCATCGGTATATACTTGTATTGTGCAGCGACGTGGTTTGCTGTGAAACCTGTGAAAAAGTGTATACTAATATCAACATTTATCCGAAAAATACTCCAAAAATAACAAGAAAACTGACACGAAACAGGTAAAAAACATAACGACTTTTAACTCATGATCATTTTTTGGACATTTAATGAATATTTATTTCATTTTGGGTATGTTTTAGTAGGGTATCTCCACGCCGGAGTTACGGGTCAAATTTTGGATACCTTTCTGAACAAGCGCCAGAAAATCATTGCGGAATCCGGAATCCGTTTTTTAGGGTTTGTTTACCCTGCCTCACTGCGCAGGTCTAGATCTATGGGGACCAGTTAAGGCTTGGTGATATCAATATCATATTTTACATTATCATCAAGCCCTTGGGGAATAAGGCTAAGTCTCATAGAATTTTAGGCTACGTGACAAAGCATAGACAACGTCATGGCCGCGACTTGCGCTGGCCATACCGTGGCGGAGGGTAGCTGGTTCCGCATAGAATGAATGCTACTTGCTAGGCTTAGGCCTATGCACAACAAGAACACCATCAATACAGCCGACAGAAAACCACAAAATTCAACAATTCAAAATACATATACACACATTATTTTCATATTTTATACCTGCTGCATCTTCCGCTGCCGGACCATGAGCTGTTGCTGTCGATCTCCTTGTCAATGAAGTAGAAAATTGACGGCGAAAAACGTTCATCATTTGAGAAGCCATTTTGACAAATTTGTGGACAGCTTATGACCTGGCCTCGTTCAGTCTTATTGGTTTCGTTCATGATCTTTTTTAATTATTTTAGTTCACTGCTTTCAAATAATCTGAAAACTTAGTTGAGTTCAATAAAATCTTTTTACCAATCATTAAAATATTAATAAAATCGGATTTATAGTAAATAATTAATTATAAATCTACAAATGATATAAAGAAATAGGAGACGACTTTATTTATCGTTGCTATCCCTGTAACGAGGATGTATCCTTAAAAGAAAAACATGTTTCGATCATTTACTCATTCCAGACTCGTGAAATCATACGAATAACCTTCAATACGGAATAGGTAAGTTTTGTTGTTTCTTGAAATGGTAGATTTGGCACTCTCTATCTTTATTTTCTGTTGTTATTATGTTATTCAAGGAAAGGTGCTGTGACATTTAAACCAAGTCAAGGCCAATGCCAGGGAGCTCCGTCCCCCGAGCGCACGGGCGAAGTGCCCTCGAGTTACCGTTGCACGCAGTTGAATTGAAGGGGGGCATCGGAACTTGATTGATCGAGCCATAACCCCGCCCTTTACCCGCCGCCAAGTTTAGGGATGGTACATCGCATCATACATGGTATGATGTAATGTAAATCCTTGTAAATTTGTGTTTTACTTTCTGGAGATTATAGAGCGCAAAAATTATTGTAAGTTTGTATCCTGAAAATTCTGATTGATAATGATACATGATAGGTCTAGATCTAGAGTAGACTACTTGGTACTTGGTTGTTGCTCCTCCAAAAGATTCCTGGTGGAATTTAAACTGGAGGTCGTGGTGGCAGAGAGTGGACTTATTTCGGAAGGAGTGCTACTTTAAACTTTGCTGAGTCAGTCAGGGATAGGCCTACTAAGGTCGGATTGAGATTATTCCATGCTTCGGTTGTGCGAGGAAAAAAAGAGTCTACTGATATTTTAGTAGATCAGGGGGCCGTTTCTCGAAACCAACTCCATGACAGTCATATCTTTGTCGGCGACCTACGGAGATGTCATGAAGCGGACAAACCGTTTCACAAAGCCATGACAGACATGATATCGATATATCGCGATACTAGCAGCTCAAGAACATAGTCTTTGTCACAATCCATTTGATTTATCAAGAATAACCAAAAACAAGTTTTGTGGCTAAAATTGTTCAAAGAGAAATATATACATATAAATTCTCCTAAAATAAATAATAAATAGTGTCATTGTCATATTTACATCATCAAACGATTTGCATATTTCTGTAAAGATTCTTAAATTGAAGAAAAACCGGTGAGTGGTTTTTTTCGACAGTCAAATCAAAAGTTAGTTGAAGGATACCGTAATGTGATAGTTTATCAATACGAACTTTTTTGTTTATTGTGACGAGGAATTTTAGGCAAAATGTCTTTTCTCAGCCAGTTTTTATTCTAGAGTCTCATAAATACTCGTTATATAATTGATTTGATATTGAAAATATAATTTGGAAGAAGTAAATAGAGAGGGAAAAATAATGCACATAGGCCCCAAAGGTATTACGGTATCCTAAGAAAAGACTATGGATCGACTATGGAAAACGATGTGTAACATTCTTACCTCTCTTATTTATATGTTATAGTTTAATGATTTGTGATTTAATGTTTATATTAAGCTTTTTAAAGTTTCTGTATAATTTGCATTCTCACTTTTGTACATTTGCATTTCGCATCCCAGAGAATTACGTACCGAACTCGTCTATATTTTTCTCAAAATGATAGTGAAACTAATCGTCCATTTTGCGGCCCATGGAATGGCAACAAACTGACTTGTGATGGCGCTTTACAGCAATTAAAAAGATATGACAGGTTCGGAGCAGTGACAACTCGCTTGTCGCGGAAGTTGTCGCTCATCTTGGCAAAGACGGCTTCGTGAAACACTTAGCTGACAAGTTGCGTGACAGTGGCGAGATGTCGTTGATCTTGTAGTTATGACGGTTTCGAGAAACGGCCCCCTAGGCCCTAATAATAGAATTACCAAAGTTCACGTTAATTTTTTTGCAGAGATTTTAAATTTTAGAAAATGCAATATTTGATTCATGATTTCACAGTCATATTCTAGATCTAGATCTAGACCTACACAAATATATTTATTTCAAATATTACCAAATTGACGGCAAAGTTTGTTATTACAAATTGGTGCAACTCGGCTCAGTATGACAGTAGCTAGTAGTAGTAATCTAGATCTAGATCTAGTAGTAGTGGATCTAGTCTACAGTAGAAAATTTATTGCCAAACTCGAAGACAAAAGTCAAAGAATTCCGGAGATATTGCGATCTAAACATTTAATGTCGGATTCGTGTGCGCGCTGCAACTTACGAAAACAACGAGACGTTACTTTTCGCATGGCCATGGGGGTTTCCAGCTGATTTATCACAAAAAACGATCAATCAAATCGCTTTTTGTGATGATAATTGCATATTTTGCAAGGCAAAATATTATACAATCAGTTGATGCCACTTTTAACTTACAATTTTGATGACATCTGCGCTCAAAATTATTGAAAGGCCTAGGTCTATGTTTTGAAGTCTATTCCAAATTAAGAGAAGATGTGTTCACTATCTTTCTTTGACTTTTCAAAATTGAGTTAGAGAAATATGGAAAGTTCAAAATTATTATTGAGGGAAAAGCTCAGAAAATTAAATAAATAAATTCTACAGTGCATCCCAGAAAAAACGAAACCGAGAATTATTGATGTTTTATCATAACTTAAGGACCATTATAATTACCGTAATAAATGTAACATATATTTGTAAAGCTTATCCTCTTTCATTTGATGCAACTCATATGATTCATATTTCACGCATGAGTGATTAAAAACAATTTGAAGAGAGGGTACCCAAAATCATTTGGCGGGAGGTATCTTTATTTTGAAGAGAAAATTACATTTCTATAAAGGAAAAATGAGCCAGGAATGACAAAGTTCTGTTTGTTTAAAGTAATGGCTATTAAAATGCTTGCATTTCCATAATTTGATTAAACATATTCATTTTCACAGGGGGGGGGGGGGGGGGGGGGGGGGGTGTGGAGCTTTTTTTTCTAACCCCCCCCCCCCCTTCCTTTTGAGCAAAAAATACATATTTTTTTCCCCTGAGGGGGCGTCTTCTTTTTTTTTTAAGGTAAAATTAATGTTACCATCTTTAAAAAAATATATATTTTTGAGGCCAGGAGGGGGGGGGGGGGGGCCTGGATCCGCCCCTGGTAGTAGTAGAAGTAGTAGTAGTAGCAGTTGTAGTAGTAGCAGTAGTCGAGTCTGATTTTATTATCATCATTTCTACAGCACATTCATGTACATGTACATGCGTATACACTTAAATTGTACCAATAACCTGAAAAAATAATTTGTTTATAGCTAGAATGTATGAGATCTACCATTAAAAAATTATTAAGGAGCATGAAGAAATAAAGAATGACATAAAACTCAGCATATAGGACGTGCATGGAGCCGAAGTCGGGCTTGAGGTCCTTGGCGCCTTTTTTTAAAGTGCGTTAAGTAGTCTATTCTGCAAGATGTTTTACTATTTAATGAGAAAATATCTAAATTAGAACATCTATAAATTGTAAAATGAATATTTGAAGCTCATATTTTGAATACAGTGTAGCCACATAGAACCCCTTACATCAAGAGCAAGACATGTTTTACTGATTAATACACTTGTGGGCTCCATCTATTTGGTAACAAACTGATTATGTGCTGTGGGAAGTGGGAATTAAGGCAGAAAAACAAGAGAAAAGACTGGTGAAAGTTTGACAGAAATTGACCATATGATAGATTTGAAAATTGAAATGTCTAAATCTATGTACACCTGTAAATCTAAAATTGGCAATTTAGTCCTTGGATTTTGATGTATTTTGAAACAATTCTCCCATTCATTAATCTTAGGTCCCATATGTATGATCACAACTTGAAGAAAATAGTCTTACTGTTTCTGCAATTAATGTCTGTCAGTTAATCCAAAGAGATACCAGAGAGCTTGTGGTAACTCCTTTTTTTGTAATAAATGTGATTCTTCTGCTTTCATTCAGAATCATTTGCTATCTAGATTGGCTTTCCTTTTAATAAAAGTTGCATAGTAATGTAAAACAAATATTCCAGACCTCACCCCCCCCCCCCCTCTATCACTTCCGATTTGTAAACCATAAAATACTGGAACTAGATAGTAGCTCTGTTAGTAAATTTTCTACCCTGCATTCTCCAATAGAGATGTCGTAGACGAATGGCACAATCACTAAACTCGGAATGGAAAGGATGTGGGTTCAATCCCCTGCTCAGCATTTATGTCTTTGAGCAAGTCATTTCATCTACATAGCTCCTCTTTACCCAGGTGTTAAATGGGTACCCGGTAGGATGCGAACGATAATGTGGTTGGATTTGCATGTGTGTGCTCGTAAAAGAGCAACTGGCTGGGATGTTCCCAAGGGAGTGGAGAGTGTGCACACTGTAATTTGGAGAATCGTAACAGAATCTAGTGACTGGGGTGATATTACTGTAAGCACTTTAGATGGGTATATTGTAACTAGTAAAGTGCTTTATAAGAAACAGTTTTTATTTGTATTACCATCTTTGTGAAAATATCAATAACTATATGTGTGAATCTTGCTTATAACTGATAGTGTTGTATACCATTAACGAACACTGGTGGTATCTCTATTGTTTTAAGAAATCACCTATGAAAAGCAAACTAAGTTTATTAAGCAGGCATCAGTAATATTAGAACCTAGAACAGAGTTTTTTGTTATTGTAATTATTGTCAATGGAATTTATAAATTTTGTTGTTGTTGTTGTTGTTTAACACTTTGACTTAGCAGTACACAATGTTGAATGCAGTTGAACAAACCTCTCAAAATCAAATGCAACAAGACTTTAAACCATTCAGAATCACACTGACTGAAGACTGCATTAGATTTGTTTAAAGTTATCATAAATAATTACAATTTCCCATGCCAGAGAACCAAATGTCCCTTCAGTAATAGTATTGTAGTTTGAAAACTGCAGTAATAGCTTTGTCCT